AGCATCCTGGTAGGTATGCAACGCGAGTCAACAGCGGTGATGTCATCAAGGGGTACCGCGGTTGCTAGGCAGCGCGGGTAATTAGTGGTTGCGAGAGATGACGGTAGTAACAGCGGTACACAGCGTTACTAGCACGACGGCACCAGACAACAGTGGTGCCTATTACGCGGCCGTTTTCTGTATTGTCCGAACGCAGCTACATAAGGAGCAGCGGAGGCTATTCACAGTCAGTCCTCGAGTTAGTTCCGAGTTGACCAGCAACCAGTCAGTTGTATTCTGGCATTTGGACTGTAGTATTTGTGATACTGCAGATAGCAGTAATTGTGAATCTGTAATTTGGGTGATTGTAAGTGCGAATGTGAAATAAAATTCGCTATATCAAATACGGCGTGAAGTTATTTGTCGCGTATACACCCAATACGTGACAATATCTTGGATTTGATACTTTTCTTGTTGAACCAGGAAGTGGGAAGGATCCTTCTATGCACCCTACAAATAGCAAAGCTGTAAAATAACCGAATTTTTAATAAAAATGTTGTGCATTACTTTTGGAGTGACCTGTGTATCTTGTGGATCCTATACTATATTTTCTATTAAAAAGACAGTGTCTTTTTACATATACATTTGCCTTTACCTTTGTCAGTGCACACCAATCAATATGACAGTCTCAAAGAATCAATTAATTTTGTCAGTAAGGAATCAGTTGAGCAGCCATTAACTTGTCTGCTCTTCTCAGTCAATTTCACTGTGGAAGGGATATGTTCTATATGGAAGATAATTATGTAGTGTATTGTTTTTGCCATTCTTAAAACGCTCTTGAATTTTTTTGCTTGGATATAGGTGGATGAAAAATTAAACCTTCACATTTATGGATGCTAATTGTTTGGAATTTGATTTATGGTTAGTTTGATTTCTGTACTGTATGATGAGAATTACTTGTCTTTGTGGGAACATCCCACATACTAACACGCGGTTTCACTGGTCTAACAGACAGCACTCACTCCTAGTCAGTATCACATTGCCGCATGTTGCTGCCACCACTCGTATTTATACAGCACTCGATGTCCAGCCCACCTGTAGATCATCACGTGCGCTAGCCAATCAGCGCTCACAATCGCAACTGCAAGTTTAAGCTCCTCCCAGCAAGCATGGTATAAAAGTGGAGCCCAAAGCTCACAATCATCAGTCATCACATTCAGTTCAGAGTGATCAGTCATCAAAGTCATCAGCTGTTCATTGCCCCAAAGACAGCTGCCGCAACTCTCCAGCAACCACGCCCTAATACCAGACAGCTAACGTAGCTGCCGCAACTCTCCAGCAACCACTCTCTGCGACCAGGCAGCTAATATAGTTGCCGCAACTCTCCAGCAACCTCACTCTGCGACCAGACAGCTAACATAGTTGCTGTAACTCTCCAGCAACCTCGCTCTGTGACCAGATAGCTAACGTAGTTGCCGCAACTCTCCAGCAACCATGCCATAGGTAGCTGTTCCTACTGGTCCACATAGCACCACATCACCGGCCAGACAGACTAGCTGAATGGCTGTAAAGACTTGGTCTTCTACAAAGGAGCAAATTCTACCAGCGCACTCATAGTGGAACAAACTGCCCTTTTCAGGGCCAACCAACTTTTGAACATTCCACATAGCTTCACAGCAGTTCTGTACATTCAATTTATACAATTTAATATATACAATTGTTGCAGTTTTACGTGGTTGTCTTTTAGAACGTCGACAATACCACATCTTCTAATAGCTGAACTGATATCTCAAATTACATATTACAAAACATGATAAATATCCATAGGCAGAACACACATTTACAAAAACTTTATCTGGAATTAGTGACTTACATTATGACACTTTACATTCGGATAGAATCATGTACTATTTTCCCTTCTTTAAGCTCTCAATGTATTCTGTGGAAGTATTATTTTTAAATATCAGTCATTGATTGTAGTTCTGCTTATTTTATTGTTAATATTTCACATAATTAAATTGAAACCACGTTTCTGATAATCAGTATAGATTTTCTTATCTCATCTGTAGTAGAACACAAACACTGACTTGTGGTTTCACAGTTTCTTCCATATACTATTGAGTGATGAGATGTCATTTTTATTTACTTATGATTTATTTAATTGCATTTTCAATAGCTCACATTATATGGCATTGAATGGGATAATGATTGATGAATAAAGAATTGGAAAGCATGTGGAAGGAAGCAGTAGTGGTTTGTTTTGTGGTACTGTCCACCATATGTTTGGAATGGCCAAGGAAAATTACAGAGAACATCTGTCAAAATTGAGTCTTAGGACTGAGCTCATTTTTATTGTCAAGTGCACTATGAGTTGGTCAGAGACTATTTCTTTGAAGCTTAACCAAAAAAAAAAGGCAATTGTATTTTAGAAATTGATATTAATTATTAGAGTGGTACGTAAAATTATTTGCTAGCTGAAATTATATTATCCTGTCAAGGAAAATGCTTGTGAAATAACAGATTTTTTTACTACTCATGCTGGATGACAATATTTTGCATACAATTTCGATATATTCACTTTTCTGAGAATGTAATTATGGGTGTTGAATAATTTTGCAACAAGAGGGAAAGGAGGGGATGGCAACCTTGATGTTATTTCTTCAAGACCAAAAGGCAGGAATCTTTATGAGGTATGTGCAATTTTAATTCATGAGTGGTCAGATATTTTAGTCTGTGTTGTATGGAATTTTTCTTGGTTTATCATGGTGGAAGAAGGGTATAGACAAAATTAAGGCCCAGAATTGTGTGAATATAAATATAAAATTGAAGTGAACTGTCAGATTTTAAAGCTGACATGAATTGTACTTTTATTTATTTAAGGCTAATAGAAGGTGTTCAGTTCCTTTTATGATTATATGTTAGATATGTACTGCTGTTCCATATGACTGACTGTTCAGCTGTTGGGTGAAAATGTATTTATCGTGTTACTTTCTTCAAGGCTTTATGTTGTAATATAGCTTTCTAAGATAAATGTCGCATGGTACAGTAGCTGAGTGGTCTAAGGCATGTATTGTCTTCGGTCGCTCAGAAGCCAGAATCATGGGTTCGAATCCCACACAAGGCATGAATGTTTGGTGTGTGTACACGTTTATTCTGTGTCTGTGTTGTCCTGTGTTTAGGAAGAGGCCTTGTGATGAGCTGATCACCCGTCCAAGGAGTCCTACTCTCTGTAAAAATTATCAGTGAAACTGAGAAATTAGCCCTGTGCTCCAAAGTGAGAGCGAAGACGAAGGAAAAAAAGTTGAATGTCATACTAAGGTTAAGAGGCAGTTGTGGGTTTGTATGGACAAATGTGTATAAAGGAGACTGCCTTTATGCCATAAATATGTTATATATCTCTCTGAACAATTTAGTCTTGGCAAAGTGCATTGTGGAAGAAGAGGTGAATATGAAGTGGGAAGGCAGTCATATGATCCATGTTCTCTACTGTGCTTATAACAGCATATAAGGAGTGGATGCTTTACAGTTGCTTGTTTTTTTAGTTTATTTAGATGTGTTTGCAAAATGTTCATTCTTAATTGCTATGATCTTGTTTCATTGTTACAGAACATTTCTGCAATCTCAGCTCGCAGTGAGCACTGTGTAGGGCTGACTCTCCAGTTGAGCAGTTGAAATATAACTTGTGTTAACATATTTGTAACAGGAAACAATTTGTATTCATTTATTTAATGTATTTACACTATATTATGTTGTTATGCTTACATCATCCAGATAATTTATTTCCTAATATTTTGCTACATTATTGCAAATAATGTCTGTTTTCAGATATCTGTACATACAGTGAAATAGTTCAGCCATTCTTATTACTTAAACTGTATCAAATACACATTTTGGTTAGGTGAATCATAATGATACCTGACTTACCATGCTCTTGGGTTGTAGTAATTTGCCTCGAAATTCTCCCAAACAGCATTTTTGCACTTTGTGTGCTGCAGTCCTTGTAAATATTTGCAATCCATTATTACAGGTGGAATTTTTTATGATTACCTTAGGCATATAGCTCCCATATACTGTTTGCTGGCTTTTCTGCTCATGATATTGAATTTATTTCTGCGCCTTTATGTATTATAGCTTATTAGTTTACAGCTTCACAGAGTAAACATCTCAAATATTATAATTGCTTGCTATTTTTCTTTCTCACTTTGAGCTACCTTGATCTGTCAGAAACAGTTATTTTCAGCTTGCGCATGCAGTACAGAACTATAAGGTTTATTTTGGACTCTATCCATCGTCTGGTATATATAAGACAAAACCACAACGTTTCGGAGACTGGGTCTGTCTCTGTCCTCAGGTGGATGGAGCAAGATAGATGTACTCAGTTGGGCCCGTTAGAAAGAGCTAGTGTTGTCCAGTGATTGAGACTAGCTCTTTCTAACAGGCCCAACTGAGTAGGTCTGTCTTGTCCCATCCACCTGAGAATGGAGACAGATCCAGTCTCCAAAACATTGTGGTTTTTTGTCTTATACAGGNATGGATTAGAGTCCAAAATAAACCTTATAGTTCTGTACAGCATACACCATCATCAGAATCCTTTAAAGCCTATTTGCATATGCAGGTTCATTTGTCTGGCTTCAAGAAAGTCTGTGCTTAGAGCTTGTGTCACTTTAGTTAGGATATGTTTAACAACTTCAATTTTTGCCAGATGTTTTATATCAGTACAAACTACAAATATTTATTCAAATTTCTTGCTGCTGTCTGTATTCCTGTATACTTTCACTGTGACATTGTTTTACAGATGCAGTTCAGCACCCCTCTCCACCGTCAGAAGTTGCAGGGGTTTCTGATTGGTCTCGACCCAATAATAGGGCTTATGGTGCTGCCACTACACTGTATGAGAGGCACCCTCTAACAAAACAGCATGCTGGTAGCCCGATAGCTGATTGTTTTGCCATTGTGGCTAGGACCAATTCTGCTATATTGGCATTAGCTGATGGAGTTAATTGGGGTGAGAAGGCTTGCATTGCTGCTAGGAGCGCAGTCCATGGATGTATAGACTACCTGAACAAGGCTGTATTTACTTCTGGCAACATAGCAAACACTACTGTGAGTAATAGAGAATTTTAATTTCCCCTTATTTTATTGTGAAGTTAAGTTCATGTTGGTTATAAGAATGAATACTATGTAAAGAATTATACATAGGTATGATAACATTTGAGTTTCCAGATTTTATGTCATTTTGTTGAGATTAATTTGAATAATATAATTGAAGATTATATTCTTCTGGGATGTGCTACCATGGAGTCTGGCAGTTAGATACCTATTTACCAGTCTGTGTGCATCATCACATCCCAGAAGTCCATAATTTTCATAATCATGAGGACCTTTGATAACCTGATTAACCATACCTCTGTCTTTAAGTTGTAGGTCCAACAAGCCTAGCAAGACATAGCTGATTTTGGTTCCATGTATGTTCTATCCCTGTTGAGAAAGATGAATTTTACTTCCAGTTAAAGTGTTTTTATGGTGCACTCCAAAAAAATCGTGACACACAAAAGGCATTCTATCCGCCCCTCTATCTTTCCTTCAATAGCTTCTTTTAGAAGGCAGTTGCTGCGTAAGATATGACCAATCCAAGTAGCCTTCCGTTTTCTTATTTCACGTAGGATATTCCTCTGCTCACTGGCTCTAAATAACACTTCTTCATTTCTCACATAATCAGTCCAACTGATCTTCTCCATCCTTCTCCAACACCACATTTCGAAGCTTTCCAGGTGTAGCTGCAACACTCATATTCTTGGTAACTGTAACAATGTATGGCCTTGACTTTAAACCTTATCTCCCATGATTTATACCATGTTATGTTTTTCTGCACAAGTACATGCAGATATATTGTGTACACTTGCCTTCAGACTGCTCCAGCACTGTAAGCCTACACTGCAGTGTTGGATTCATGAAAGACCTTGACCTTGAACTTAAAGAAACAGAATACTACTACATACAAGACAGCCTTGAAAGCATTTATCTACATTAACTACTAGTTTTGAAAAAATATTGATTTGAGCATAGTATTTTCTAAATATGCAAATAAGAGATTATCGTTGTTTTTCCAGATGGTCAAATCTGAAAAACTTGTCTTTTAGTCTTATAGGTAAATATGGTATTTGGATTATCCATTGTTTTTAATTATCTGCACTATTATTCTCTGTCATGGTTAATCGAGAGTTCATTGTGTTTCTAAAAGTCTGGTTTGACATGGTTTTTCCCACTAGAAAGCTTTAAGTTTGTTCGAGTCCAAGATCCTGTTGCATTGATATAGGGATTGTATAGCTTGTGGCATGTAGTGGAGCTAATGGCAGAGTGATGCTGCTTTTTGTAACAGAGGGCTTTGTAAGTAAAATGAAATTTTTTAGTAGTATTAAGTTTATTTTTTGTTTCGCACATTGCATAAAATCAGTTCACAATCAGTTTTCAGTTTTTAGTAGGTCACAACAGTACAATTCAACACTGAAGACATAAAGTGGCACCATTTCATGGTTACATTCTTGGTGTATGTGAACTCTTTGTTGAACAAAACATTTAATTTCACTCTTGCACCAGAACCCATCTTGAATACAACTTGATCACTGGTATATATCATCTGCCTTATTGTAAGTTAGAATAACCACCAAGTGAAGTAGATAGGCAGTGATGTCTCAGCATAGGGGAGTAAAAACTGTTGCATGTGGTTCAGTGATAGACAGGATTTCATGCATAATGAAGATATTCCTTGCAGCCAGTCTGCTTCCCATTTGCTTTGTTCTCAGCACCGTATGAAAAGAAAGAAATGAAACACTGAAACCCTGAATTTTGAGTCTGGGAATGGGTTGATAGGTACATAGGGTTGATAGCACAACTCTGCTTTACACTGTCGCACAAAGTACAGCTGTGGAGGAATGTGTGATAGGGGACACTTGTGTAGGTTAGATTGGTAAAAGTCTACACTTAGTGTATGTCTCACAGCAGCTGCTACTAGGGTATGTGTATGAGGAACTTAGTGTTCTGAGGTTTGTGCTCATTTCTTTTGTGATCTTCAGTCTTGAACTATAACTGGCTACAGCTACATTGAAGTAACAGAACTGTAGATATGGTAGGATATGTGCATGTGTGTGCATGCACAGCTTTTGTATGCATGCATAATTGTAGTTGTAAGGAAGTGAAGAGGAATGGCTCATTACAATAATCTTTAGTGACTTCCATAATAATTTTTTGTACTAATAATATTTGAATATTATTGAAGAAAGGTGGCATCTCAAGATTCCTTGTTGTTAGTACATAATCAGAGTTTGTTTACTCGAGTTGCTTTTTGAATGTTGCTATACTTTCATATGCGAATGTGATGTGATTATATATGTAGTTGTTCTTGTGTAGAAACCCTGCAAAGTGGATTTGTTGGGGGAGTTATTAATGGTATTTGTTTGCAAGGATTTACATATAATAGTGAATTTCTTAAGAATTTTATAATAATTCCTGATGAACTTTATATATATTATAAATAATAATGACATTATTTTTTGCAGTACACAAGTTCCAGATAATATATCTGCCATGTAATTTTGTTTGAGTATTTATTGTCTCATTTTTCATGGGTACCTTCCCTTTGACCTGGGGTATGCAGTAATGTAGTTGGTTGAGGCACTGTGCTACAAGCCGGAAGGTCATGAGTTTGAGTCCAAATGAGGTGGATTTTTTCATTTTACCCAATCCTTCCAGCCACACTATGGCCCTGGGGTTGACTCAGTCTCTAACAGAAATAAGTATGAAGAATCTTCTGGGGGGGGTAAAAGGTGGCCGGTGCATAAGGCTGACAACCTTACTGCTATCTGTGAGCCAATTGTCTAGAAGATGTGGGAGCTTCAAACCTGTGGGCCTTCATGGCCTGTTACAGGGATAACTTTACTTTTACATTTCCATTTACCACTAGAGCCTCTCTTGTGACATCATTGCAAGAGATGTTTGTCAGTCTGTATATCATCATAGTGGTAACAATTTTTCCATGGCTTTGATCAGGTAAAATAGTATATTATGAACAGGAATGTTTGTGCATTGTGTGTTACTCCAGTTTATGAGCTACGCAATTAAGTTAAATGGCTTTTGTTCCTAATAGTGTACACTTTGAAATGTGAAGTGAGTTGGCTTAATTTTCACTAAATTCGTGTTGTCTAACAGGATGTGTTTGTATCATTGCTGAGATCATTCCATGCAGCACACAGTCTAATTCTTCAGGAAGCTGGGATGTTAACTACACTTACTACAGCCATAGTATTACCATTAGCAGATTCAGATAGGTTCGTGGCCTGTGTATGTAATGTCGGGGATAGCCTCTCATATGTGTACAGTGCAGAGCATGGTGTGAGGGAGATCACCAAGGGTGAGTATGTTGACAAAATTAAGGCCCACCAAATTCTTTGTAGGAGTGAACTGGATTTAATCCCAAAGCAAGCAAATATTTATGTAATTGAAGTACCTTAGATGTTTGTTTGTCTTCAGACTCAGATAAAAGTAATGCATTTGTCTCTGACATTTATTCACTTTCATTTCTTATAGTGGTGTGGCCATACCATTCTTGAAGTGGTTAGACTCAAACTTTTCAGTAACAAGGCCCAGGTTCAATCCCACAGCATCCATTTGGCATTTGTGTTGTGCAGAGTAGCATTTGGATAAGTTTTTCTTTCTGGATGCTTAAGTTTCCATGGTCAGTCATCATCTCCATTAGAGCTCCTCGCTTATAAACTGCCCTTGAGTGTTGCAGTAGCCCAACCAACCACCATGTTATTACAGTCTCAGAACACATTTGGGACTTCCCATCTGATTTGGTATTTCGCATGACCCAGAGTGAAGAGATAACTCTTTGTTTTCTTTTAGTTCCGTTAAGCTATGTTAGCCATCCGGAAACTTATTGAAAATAAATGTCAATTTATTTGCTTCTTTGACAGAAAATATTCTCTAGTGTATTTATGTGAACAACACTATAAACTTTTTCTGTTAGTTTCAGGCCGTTATATTGTACATTACATAGATTTGTATGCTTATTTTGAAGGATAGAATGGAAATGTAGAAGCTTGGCTTTAGTGCAGGTGTCATACTATGTTATTTTCATAGGTTGCATCCTGTTGTGTGTCACAGACAATATATAATATGTAAGAACTATGCTACCATCAACACAACAAATATTTCAGTTCTAGTATAATAATTGAAATATTTGTTGTGTTGACGGTAGCATATTTCTTACATATAATATATTGTCACAGTGTGTGTTGCATGTTGCACATTATTATTTCCTGTGCATGAAAATTTGTATTCAAGTCTAAGGAAATATATTTTAGTGTGGAGCATTTGTTCTCTTTTTTGACATGGATGTTGACCACAGATTTTCATAATGCATGCATAACAGATGTCAAACAAACATTGAAAGCTGCATTTTATTTACAATACTTGAGCTCTTCTTATCATTCTGGGTTGTAGAAGATATGTCTTTATGTAATAAGATATTCATTAAGGGAACATAAAAGGTCCAGAATTTCCTCATTCTTAGCATTATCAGGAACTCATATATATGGCTTTCACATATGAATCATTTAGTTAGGAGAAAATAGGGAATTAAGGCATACTCTGTTTTGATTCCTTGTTCATGTATTTCATGTACTCAGTCCACAATGGGAACAAGGGTTTGTAATTGTCATTAAGTGATATTGACCCTAACATCATCATCGTAAATTTACTAGATTCTATTATGAACATACTTCCAGCACTGATATGCCAGTGGGAAATTTAAACATACTTTCATAGGACTTTTCTTCCATAAGGTTGCATACACAAGGTACCCTGTACACTTTTTCATAGGGTGGATGGTCTATGGGTGAGCAAACTTTTGGCACATGGTCCATGGCAGGGAACTCATTTTCTTGAGCGAAAAAGGAGAAGGTAGCTAACTGAAACCAACTGAGTTTATTATGTTGTTCATAGATCTTAAGATTTGCATGTAATTTGTTGAGACGAAGTGTCTTAATGTGTCATTTAATATTGTTTTGAGGGTACTGTTGAACCTCTGAACTGTATTTATCCACCTAAGCAACATGAGGTATGCTATGTATATCAGTCCATCTATCACACCACAACTTATAAATAAACAACTGAAGACATGAGTGTTATCAATGAAATCATTATTTATTCACTAAATATACTCACTACATGTTTCAACATTATATGATCATCAGATGTATTAAAATATTACAAATATTGTCAACATACATCATTGGACTGCTTATACAATGGATCCATTGTACTAGTCCCATCTCATACAACCCATTTCTCAGGATGTGACATAGTTAATTATAATTTAATTAAATATCATTGTAGGTAAGTCTGTTTTTAATATTCTTGTCGTATGAATTAAATTGCAGGTTGAAAACTTTTGCCCACTTTGTATGGGGTTTTTAGTGCAAGGTGTGGGGGAAGGGGTTAGGAAGAATGGGGTAGGAAGGGTGGTGTGCATTGAATGATACTGTGCATGGGGTATGTACTTTGTAGGGGTAATTGATGTTATATATGTTGTATATTGTGGAGGGCAGGGTACTGCAAATTCCAGATATATTCTGTATTGATGGCTTCAATATGATTTATGTTTGGTGATTCGTCTGAAGAATTGAAAGTATGTATTATAATAATAAGTATAAATATAGCTTTTCTGTAGTGTTTTTGCATTAGTTATAAGTATCAGGCTGATTGACAGACAAAAATGGCAGGGCTAATATATAGAATGTCATAACTTTTCACTGCAGATACATGAAAGAGAAACATTGCCACATCTGTATTATTTTTCAAGCCTTAGTGCTGTGTAGTAGTATGTGTGTTTAGAAGTTGGGCTAGAAGATTATGTATTTCACTTATTTTTAGATATTACGTTTACTCGTTAGAATGAACATTTTATGAACTACTTACATACCCTACTTCATGGATTTTATGTATTGCTTTGTGAGAGATACTGTTATACAGGAAGATCTCCATTTGTTTTAGAATTACTGTATGTACTAAATTTATGAAATACATGCAGGTTCCCATGATATCCATTGCATGCGGGACATGCGGGATGCCTTGGGAGCTTTGGGACCAGTGGATGGACAAAATCCAGAACTCAACAATCTGACCTGTTCTATGACAGAAGTGGAGTCAGGAGATATTGTTTTCATCACTTCAGATGGAGTTTCTGATAACTTTGACCCAGTGGTGAGTTTATTGCATAGAGAAGAATGAATTATATAATCAGAAAATACTGAAGTAAGAAGGTGAATGGGAAAGAGGATTAATAGAGAGTGGTAACATAATTGTTGCAGTGAGAGCTTCATAAACTTTTTGCTGAAAGTGCAAGCCTCGAGTGATTGCTGTCTGATTAATACAGATTATATGATAGAGGTCTGACTTTCATTTTTGTGGTGTCTTGTAGAAAATGCATCAGTTTAACCCTTTGTTCCCCCTAATGCAGTAGAATGTGATAAAATTGAAAGGGCTCTGGCACTTCTAACATAGTAAAACATCTCATTTAAAATGTGAATACCTGAAGAAAAACTGGACTGATAACAGAGTACTGTGTTCTGGGATGTAATGTTGTGTAGTCTAGTAGACGTGCACTGATGCTTGGAGGAACATGCTACTTCTATCTTCAGGGTCAAAGAGTAAGCTAAGCAAGAAACCTGTGAGGTAACACTACACACTAGTGTATTAAATGGAATGAGGAAAGGGTTGCAATGTTTGTTTAACTACCGTTCGCAACCTAAAGTTCTACTGCTGCTGTATTTTTCATGTGTGATTTATAATTGTACAGCAAGTGTTCAGCATTTTATGAACATCCACCTCTACAGAAGTAACTTTCTTTCAGTAATACAGTTTGCTTTGAAAATTATAGAAGTGATATATATCATGGGTATATAAGAAAACAAGGCAGAGGGGAAAAAGCAATGTGTCATTATATTTTTTTTTTTTTTTTATGTTACTGATACTCTTGTTCCCTAAAGTATGAAACTCGTGTACAGTGAGGCCTTCGTAAGAGACATCTTGAACCATTACATCCCAGCATGTGTGTCACCAATTTTTGATCTTAGTATCAGCAAAGGCCTTGCCATCTCTTTGTAGCTGTTTTGTACAGTTTTATAACAGTTAATAGCTCTTATGTACAGATCTCAAATTCAGTCAGATCAGGGAAGAAATTGTCCGCTTAAGTTTTTTCATTACTTGGTGAGACTTTTTACTATCTTATTGTAGCTCTGATCATCTATGTATTGTAGCAAGTGGCATTGTTACTATGCAGTGACTGTGGAGATGGACTAATGTACTAGCCCCATATCTAGGCAATGGTACAGCAACAGAGGAACAGTGTTTTCTGTGGCCCATGCTGTGGCTGTTGCTACACAGTGGTGCAGTAAACACGTCTCTGTGGCCACGAATCCAAACACAGCAATAGAAGAGTTGTATTTTCGGGCCTGTGCCAAGATGTTATAACCAAGAGGTTTAGAGCTTAGTCAGTTGATAGTCGGGCAGTGAACAGAAGACTAAGAGGTTAGTGTGAAATGGCTGTGAGTTAGTTGCAAGAGTTCTCGGTTGAAAGTCTGGCTGTGAAGAGAAGACTTTATGTATGATATTTGGAGTGTGTAATTCAGTGAGGCAGTTATAGTTCCAGTGTTAAAGTTTTTTGCCAGGAAACAGAGACTGTGCTAGACTGAGGACACTAGTCTGTGTGTGTCAGTGATCTGTTAAATGTATTCCTGAGACATGAGTGTATAAAGTGGTCATTAAATCAAGTCACCAATCCAAACCCCATCTATAGTCACTCTTACACATGACAGTATGTTGCATTTGGTCTGCCAGCCATAAGTATAGCTCATGTATTATAAATATACATGTATATGTGAAGGTGGAATGTGTTGTTTGGAAATAACTTTCAGATATGATCATTTAACACAGATGAAAAAAGTCATGCCATGGATAATATTAATGCTAGATAATCTGTGTCCAGACAATTGCAAATTAACTGTACTTGTCTTTCATAAGGCATACTCGCAAGACATTTATGAAGAATCATTAATATGAAAATCTTTTGGCATTTTTTCCATGGAGCAGTTAGTATGATGAAATATTTAACACACTTGTTTATTGTTTATTGTTATTAAATAACTCCACAAATCCTGTACAGGGGCTTTAGCACCCATAGGATATAGAGCTAGTCAAACTTATACAATCTCATACAAAACATAAAAAGATACATGGTGTAACATTAAATCAAGCCATATCATAACAACATAGATTCATACACTGTTAGAAATACAACCTTTTACTTCTTACTACTCCAGTTCATTCGTCACAATCATTAAACATTAATCATAAAACTATCACATAATACTAAGTAATTAACATAATTAAAATTAAAAAATAAAACATACAGTTAATCCCATTTACATCCAATCAGTATTTACAAATTATTTTGATTAAAAAACTCCTCTAATGAATAAAATGACCACGAGCAAAGATATCTCTTTAATGCTGGTTTAAACAATTCAATTTTATATGATAATGATTTTATATTTATAGGAAGATGGTTAAATATCCTCATTCCAATAGCATATGTCCCTTCAATATATATTGTATTATTATATTATATATTGGGAAAGGTATTCTTTTCTTGTATCAGTTCCTAATTTGATTTTGCCATAGGTTATTATATTTGTGTTTAATCATTAATCCTAGATTCATTTTATGTCTAGTTTTGGTATTGCACAACCTGAATTGACATTTCTTCTTTGTTGGTGGAATCTGATATTGATCTTTTTCCATTGCAAGTTGTACAGTGTTGTTTCTCATGCATTAATGCTCTTCAGCCTGGAAATATTTCTCTCTCTGCATTTCATATGGTCACTTGCTTAGTGACTAGATGTGGGGTTTGTATTGGTAATCAGATTTATTGGACTCTTACATGACTTGTGACTACACTTTACAAATCTGTAGTATGCACCTTACTGTCCTCGGTTATCTACTGGTTCACTAGATGTTGCTTCATTACTGTCTTCACAAGACATTGTTATGTAACAAATTACAACAATGGGGATTCCACCACCTACCATGCCTCTGCCAGAGGGCAACTGTCTCACAACAACCTCAAACTTAGACAGACACACATTCTCTCTCCCCCCCACTTCCTCCCTCTCCCCCCTCTTACTTAGGTTCTTTTCCCAGTATATAGCCTTAGCATGGACCCAACAGAGAACACCCCCACCAACAATTACTCTATTGATTGTTTCATGTGTATCTTTTGCTGCAGTCATTTGATTTGGTTGCTGTAGAAATGTGCTTACAGAACCATTGTCTAGCAACTGACATTTTCTGTGGTTCTGCTGTTCTGGCTTTCAGCAGACATATCACAATATGGATGCATTATTATTGCTTTAGCATTACTACTGCAGATTGCTGTATCACCAGCTTCCATGGAACCATCTTTGCATACTGCATGTATGAAAAATCCCACAGCCCTTTGTTGTGCAGTACTTGCTCTGCTGCAGAAGAGAAGGGGTCACAACTCTTTGAATGCTTTTAGCAGAATTTTAACAGAATGAAATGTGAGACATAGAAGAGAAATACTTCTCCAAGAGTAGCCCATCACACTTAATAACATTTGACTGTCATTAGGTGAAATATAAGTTCTCTTCTGTGATTCAGGTGCTAGAAGTTGTTTTCTATAGACCTAATAGATGATTTTTGTATATATGGGAGTGAGTTTTCTTTCTGCTAGACTCGATTTAAAGTAACATTTCTTGTTAGAGCATGCATTTGTTTGAGCTGCACATAGTTACAGTGACATGGATTCTCAAAATGTTTCTAGGTTGGAAAGTTTGCTGTGCTTCCACCTTCAGATAATTTAAATCTGAAAGTTCCTTCTAGTACAGTCAAGATGTCATATGCTGCTCCAAATCATGGTTCATCAAAATCCCCTGGTGGAGATTTATCTTCTTCCACCTCTTTACCCACTGTTCAGGCCTACCAGCGTCATGAACTTTCATTGCTGAGGATGGATGACTTGCTGAAGAATGGAGTTTCTGGTGATGGGCCACCCTGTCGAGATGCAAAAACATTATGTGAGATGCTTCTAGACTTTGCCACCAGGTAGGTGGATGCATGTGCATAGGATCAAAGCAGACCCTGTGTTTTTGTAGGACATAAACTAGGATAATAAGGCTGCTTGTATAACTGCTTAAATCTACAGGTACAATGAAACATACATGATTATTTTGCAGTGACCTACTTTGTTGATGTACAGTGAAATTGCTATGAATATTTTATTTCCTTCTCTTCTATTTAATGTACCATTATACAGGACTTTATATGCTCTAATAGTGTCCACTAAGGGCAGTACTAAATTCTTTGAGGAAGGTCCATCTCGAAAAGCTAATAATCACTGAGGTGATCAATAAATTCCCCACATTTTATGGAACCTGAAGGTGCATTACTGTGTTCAGAAGAGTCCACCACTGGATGGTCTTGAGCCACATGAATCCAGAGAATTCTGTCTTGTGGGATGTAATGCTGTGTGATCTGTTGAAAGTCATCCAACATTTTGGAGGAACATATTGCCTCCATCTTCAGGGTGAAAGAAGCAAGAAACCAGCATGAAGCATTTAGAGCTTAGCTGTGACTGTTTCCTGCTTCATATTTGTTTGTTTCTTGGCCTGTTGTTCAACCCTGAAAATGGAGGCACACATTCCTCAGAAACATTGGTTGACTTTCAGTGGACTATACAGCATTGTATCCCAGAAGATACATATCTTCATAACCATTTCTGTGAGAACTTCAAATCCTGCAGATGAATTCGGTCCACATCTTCGCATCATATGAAGTTGTATCAGAAAGTTCCCCGTCTGTTGTTGTTATAACTGCCTCTGTGAAAGTAGATGAGAGGGGAGGCCAAGGTCATGCTTCTGAAAGCCTCTTGCATCAGTCTACCATGTGACACCTCACTGTGAACATGCATTGTTTTTACACGAGTGCTTTTTCAACTTCGTATTTCATTTTGTCTGTGATGGATGGCAAAATTGAGTCTGCAGACACCTGCTCACGCTGGTTCATTGCTCGCGGATTTCTTATACTCTGAAGATGGAGGCAATGCATTCCTCTGGAACATCTGTTAACAAAATGTGCACAGCACTGCATCCAGAAGATGGCATTCTTCATAGTCATGTTCAGTATTTTTATGTCAAGTTATAACTATTTTAAATAACAAATTGTAATATTACTTATGTAACTAGGAATATTAACAGTAATTTCAGTTTTACATATTCTAATTTGTTACCAGTTCAATATTATTTTATGTCAACTTATAATTATTTTAAATAACAAAGTGTACTATCAGGACAACATGGATACAATGTGAATTCTTATTGAGTAAATGATACAACTCAGAAACTAACACCAAGTAATTATGTACGCCTGAGGATGACACAGGTAAGGGTCAAAACATGTAGGGAAGTCATTAACAGCAAAATAATTCCGATATTGACATGATAGTCTCTCTCTTATTTATTTTCTGAACTTATTGTTGTGTAGACTATCTCAAAGTCATGTCCTTTAAGTATATTGTTTATGTCAGAAATTATCAAAACTTGAGTGTAATGTCAACAGATTAACTGCTGCTAAGCGCCACATTCTTGAAGACCCTGACTTATATTACACCACAGTAGAAGGCAGCACAGAGTTGACAGAGCTGAGCCGAGCTGAACAGCGATCCCGACGCAGGAAAATGTGTGAGAAACTTGCTATGGTTCCTGGAAAATTGGACCATGCCAGTGTTGTGGCTTATCAGGTAGTAAATGCAACATAAATCTCCCAGTTTACCAGTAGGCAGTTTAGTTAAAATGAGAATAGGTTGATAATACTATATATTATTAGTTACATTTTAAACTTTACATTCTGTCAAACCAGGATGTTCAGTAGAATAAAACCAACATGTAGGGAAATTTATGAACTAATATTTTTGGACTATTTTGTGTAGGAGTTTTATATACAGATTATATCATAGACACTGACAGATTAATAAACTCAGAGTTGAGTTTTACGAACTTCCCAGATTTACAAAATATTTTTCTTTTCCTGTCCAGCTCCCTGTACATATAAATGGTAGTTTATATGGAATTTCTGAAATTCAAATTAATGAAACTATAAAAAATTATGTCTCCTGGGTTATAATGCCATGTACTCCAGTGATATTTCAGAGGAACAAATTGTCTTGATCTTCATGATTGAAGATTATGCTAATCAAGAAATCAGTACAAAGCAGGTAGCAAGATAGACTGCATGGCATTATATCCCAGAAGATATAATTTCATAATAACCACTGTGAGAACTTCAAAATAGAACAATGAGAATCTCAGTTTAACAAATTATGAATGTAAGTCTCACGTGTGCGCATGTGCACACACCTGAAGATGGAAACAGATCCAGTTTTCCAAAATAACCATGTTTTATATACCCCAGAGAGTGGGTTATGGCTTCTTCATGACACTGGTCCTGTACACAAATCACAAAAAGCATTAATTGCCTGTGGCTTTCACTAATTAAGCCAGCAACCCTACAGCCCAAACCCAGTCTCCAGTGATTGTTTCCCATTCTGAAACCTGAGGAAACACCTGCATGGATGTCAGTTCTTGAGCAATGTGAACCTGAAAGTGTTGTTCCAGAGTGGTTTGAGGAGCAAGAAAGAGGCTGCTGTTTTTCAGGGATTTCAGCCTGAGAAATAGAGGAAGTGCACCATACTTAAGAAAGGCTATACTGAGAAACAGAAAAAACGTTTATTTTATCTCAGTGACTTCATGACTATATATGAGGTAGAGTTAGTAAATAGGTCACAAATGGAAGTAAAACAACTCTAATGGAGGTAATAGGTTTTCTGTGTGCATCACTAGGTAACAGCACAGTCTGGCTTTGTTACAGTCTAGGTAGCAGATGTGCATGTGCATGTTCAGAGGCTGGTTTCAGTAGTCAAAATGGAGACTGCTTGAGGAGTGTATTGCTGAAGACAGCGTTTTGTTCATTATTTGTGGGCAAAAGGACTCTATGCAAAGGATAGTCATAAAGAAATGTTTGCTGTTTATGGTGGGAAGTATTTGTTCTGTAAAATGATGTACAAGTGGGTCGAGAAATTCTCTCATGGACGTTTGGAAGCCGCAGATGATGCTAAATCAGGTTGCCCTGTTGAGATTGCAATAGATGCAACTGTTGTGCGGGTGGAAGAGTTAATTGAAGCTGACAGGAGTATAACAGTAGACATTGTAGCACCTGTGCTAGGGTGTTCCCATGGTTTAACATAACAGCATGTTGCATGATCATTTGAAGTTTTGGAAAGTGTGTCCATGGTGGGTGCCCAGAGGACCGAAGGGTCAAGAAAAAAATTCACTGAATATGTCTGTACTTGCAGCATCTCTTATGGTCTGCATATAGAGGAGAAGATATGCTTAACAGGGTTGTTACTGAGGATGAATCATGTGTGCATCACTACCAACTTGGATCAAAGTATGCTTCAGTGCAATGGAAACACCCCAGTTCACCTTCAGCCAGAAAGTTTAAGGTTATGCCATTAGCTGGGAAGGTTATGCTTGCTGTGTTTTGGGATTCTCAGGCAGTACTGTTAGGCCATTTTCAGAAGAATGGTGGAAATATGAATCTACATTGTACTGTGAAGTTCCGTTGAAGCTTCAGGTTGCAGTTTGTAGAAAATGTCCAGGCCAGCTGGCAAGATGAGTGCTGCTTCGTCATGATTATGCCAGACCTCATACAGCCTGAGCAATCCAGGAGGGAATTCAAGAACTGCAGTGGGTACTTCTTGAATATTTGCCATATGGCCTGGACTTGGCCCCTAGTGATTTCCATCTGGTCTGCTAAAAAGCCGCCTTAGTGGCAGGCGTTTTGCTGATGATGAAGAGGTTGAAACGGAGGTGCAGAAGTGGCTGAGACTGCAATCAAAAGACTCCTATGGTGTGAATTTTGACATACTGATAAAGCAATGGGACAAGCATGTCAATGTTGGTAGAGGATATGTTGAGAAATATTTTTTTTTTCAGGTTTGAATATCACTCCTTCCTTCTTTAGCTTACACAGTATGGGGGGAGGGGGAACAATCGCATCATTTGTCCTAGGTTCCATGTTATGTCCCCAGTGCTCCCCTGATGGGCTGGGGTGTCCAAGCTTTGAGCATTGCCCAAGAATCGACGATATCTCCAAAATAACAAAATATTTAATAACAGTGAACAGTACCAATAAATAAATAATGCACCATGAGTACCATAACAGTAACAACTTAATAATCTATTAATCTGCAACATATGCAAACAGTGAGATCATCACAAAACTCTGGCTATATTTCTGTCTTTGCAGCATTATCAGCCTTATACATGATTCATCAAAAATGAAAAATATATGCTTCATGACTCTACCATTCTCCTACAAACAATGCCAGTATGATTCTTGAATTGATCAAGTCAGCCATGTGATGCATGGAACTGAATATTTTTCATGTCTTTGATGATGATTCCATTTAAACAGACATTCATGACCCATTATTCTTGAACTGCACCCACAAGGTTACCTCCCTTTTATTACACCGTATATACTTGCATAATTTACATTTTTTTCATGAAAAATCTATCTGAAAGGTAAGGTCCATAAAATATGCAACTAACGTTTCTCAGGATATAGTTCATGTTACTTTGATGTTAGAAAATTTTTGACTGCATGAAATCGATCAAAGAATGTGTTATATGAGAAAAGAGAACATTTTCTCTCTTTTCCACATAATTTATAACCATCATTTCTAAAGTGGCTCTGAAACCATCATATCTTCATGTTTGACATACTTTTAAATTGCTGTTCATTAGTGCTAATTTAATATAAAAGACTATAAATGAGAAACTCTTGACAGTATGAACAGTATCAGTATATGTCTGACATATTTGAAGGATTCCCACTAACAGTAACAGATTATTTTCATGACACTTTGCCCTCATCCACTTGCATTAAATTTCCTAGAAGTGTCTTCTGATTGAGCATGAATCATTCCATCTTGACACAAGGAAAGCAGAAACATTATAATGAAAGGAAAAGAATCCTGACACTGTAGATCAGTTGCAGCCATTCATAGTCAGGACCAGGGATATGGTGGCTGTTCAAGTTGAGCTAGGAAGGAACTGTGCTGTTTTACATCACGAGTATACTTCTTCATCCTCGACTATTTATGATTGAGGAAACATTTATTGATAAAGATACAGCATTTCTTGCTGCTCAGCTGCTAATGAGGGTCCAAAGAGAAAGTCAAGAATGAAAGAAATGGTACCACAGTAACAATATTTGTTCTGCAAGTATACTGACCCAGCTGCCAGTTATTCTGTCTGTGTCCTTAGCGAGTCAGATAGGGTCTATGTAAATGGTATTTGCAGTGACATCATTATTAAGGGATTGTGGACATAGATATAAAATCTTGTGTGATACATAATTAATTATACAAATTAATTCTTGTATAGGAATTAGACAAACCTGTATACTGAAAACTAGCTCTGGTCCTGAAGAGGCAACCTATTATTTATTTCAGCTGTAATTGGCAGACCCCTATAACGATAACATCTACAGAGGACATCAGCACCAAAAAGTGTATGGATGACATTGATTGCCAGTTCCTCTGCAGTGCATGCCAATTAATCTTTCCCCCTTTCCCTTCTGCCATAATGATATGTCCTCAGCTACCTGCACATGAACATTAGCAGGTTGGAAATGGTGTTATGGCAGAGGACATGCATTCTTCTCTGTTTTGCAGGTTGGTGTGAACAGAAATAATGGAGGTAGTGTAGCAGTTTCATCTGAAAATGTTGGCAGTGATGATGATGAGGATGACAACAATGACCTGGTGGAGACAGTTCTCTAGAATACAGTGCTGTGATTTGAGGAAACCAATGTGAAAGTTGCAGGTTGCAAATTTTATGGCAGCTAGTCTGGCATGCTTTAACACAATACCATATTTATCCATATGTTAAGTTTTCAACTTTGAATACTAATAGCTAATCACAGCTGTGAAGGTGTATGCTGAAACATCACAGAAACTCATGTACATTGATCAAGAGTCAGATAGGCAGCTACCAGTCTAAACCTTGAAACCAGAAGCTTGCTTTTCTTTTTATTCCTATAACAGGTCGTAAAGGCCCATAGGGTTCTGAGACGTCGAGGTTCCCACATTTTCTTTAGACATTCGGTTCACAGATGGTGGTAAGGTGGTCAGCCTTATGCGCCAGCCTCTCTAGAAGCTCGTATGTAAGAGAAAAATATTATATGCAGATAGATGAGACTGGAAACAGTGATTAACCCATGAATCAGGAGCGTAATGCATAGTAATGGAGGAATCTGGGATGTGTGATAATGTCTTCTCTTTGAGTGATTATGGTATTTCCTTTTTTTCATTTCATGCATCCTGTTGTGTTACAATATACAACCTCTTTATTACAACCATCACAACACAATAGATATGAAGATCAGTGCCTAGTTTCGGCTCTGCTACATGGTTTGGCTATCAATAGCCATCATCAGGCAAATACATGGTTAACATGTATACACCACTGAACTGCAGTACTAGAAAAATTGGATACAATACTATTAATTATATAAAACACTTGATGTAAAAATACAATAAATCAGATTATATAAAACGGAAGTTATAGTATAAAACAAGTATAAAATTCTTAGATTCATGTTTTATATCATCGAATCAGTCGTTGGTTTTGTAATTTTGTTGCGTTCCCACAGACAAATTGGAATATTCTATATTTTGTGTATATAAAATTGTATAGGAGGCTCGTGATGTAGATGTAGTAAATTAATGTTAATTGTTAAGTCGGTGCCTCATCTTACAAAGTATTGTCCATTCTATAGGGAATGTAAACATACAAGTAAACAATTAACATTAATTTACTACATCTACATCACAAGCCTCCTACACAATTTTATATACACAAAATATAGAATATTCCAATTTGTCCATGGGAACGCAATGAAATTACAAACCAATGACAGATTCGATGATATAAAACATCAATCTAAGAATTTTATACTATAACTTCTGTTTTATATAATCTGATTTATTGTATTTTATGTCAAGTGTTTTATATAATTAGTAGTATTGTATCCAATTTTTCTAGTACTGCAGTTCAGTGGTGTATATATGTTAACCGTGTATTTGCCTGATGATGACTATTGATAGCCAAAACATGTAGCAGAGCTGAAACTAGGCACTGATCTTGATATGTGTTGTGTTGTGACGGTTGTAATAAAGAGGTTGATTATGGTATTATTGGTTGTAATAATGAAGTGTAATGTTTGATAGCACTTTCATGATTCTGATAACTTTGCTGTACACTCTTCTTGCCATCCTTGCTTTCCATTGCTCGCTCTTATTACCACACCACAGTTTCTTTTATGCTTGAAAGGCCATGTAACATATCAATTGAGACATGAAAACAGTGTGTATATTGTAGGAGGATGGAAAAGTTCCTGAAATTCAGACATAATTCTGAATATGGAAGGATATGTAATGAAAACTAACCAAGTCACCCTTCTGCCATACACACTTGCTCCAGTAGTGCTACCATTGCTGGAAGTCCTCATCTGGTATGACTGTGAGGTCTGCTGTCATGTTCTGTTGAATTTTCTCCATGGAAGAACATTTTTGAGCTGTATCTTGAGACTCGGGAAGAGCCAGAACTCAAATGGAGCAAGATCTGGAGAGAGCAGTGTGGCTGGATGATGGTTGGAATTTTGTTCTTTGCCAAAATGAGCTGCACTGTGAAGAAGGTGCGACAGTATGCATTGTCATGGTGTAACATCCAGTTGTGTTTCCCTGGCCAACTGTGGCACACTAACATGTCTCAGCCTGTTACAGCATGCTCTACAGATAGCCCCATGGTTAACTCATGTGCATTGCACCTCCATTCACTTTAAAAGGAAGCAGTTATCCTAATATGACTAAATTCCAGTTCCTCATATATATAAAGGAGAGCTGAAAACATGGCCAGTATTCACCAGTGGATTGGCCCTAAGAGATATGTGTGAAAAGAAAAAACCTAGTATTTCATCCACAATGAACTTTTTTGTGGCTGAAAGCAGTAAACATATGGTACAGAAATCAAATATACAGACCAAATTTAAATAATAGGGAAGAAGAGATTTGGATGTTTTTTTTTTTCTGTTCCAGCTACCGTGGCAACACGTACTCCAAAATTAAAAGTGATACTAACATTACAAAGCACTTCATATGGCAAACTTGGCATGTTATATGACTGGCATCATTGTGCAGCCTTCAGAATTCCTACAGGTCGTGTTGGGAGTATAAAATGAAATTGTGGCAAGATTGAGAGGCAATATTTCATTTGACAGCACTATTTGTCATGACATTTTGCCAAGCCTCATGTTTCAGTGATAAAAACTGACATTCACAGTGCTGATAGCATTCCATTATAATTTAACAACATTTATGTAAATCAAAATGTGAAATATGTTAGATGCTTCTGAATTCCAAGAATTTATTTTTACTTACTCAAACTGTCTATATATGAGATATACCTATGTTGTAATATATTATGTATTATAAAATAGTATTTCTTTTAATTAAAGACCTAACTGAATGTAAACTATGATTTATTTGCAACAATATTTCTTCAGCTTTTACATTCTTCAGTGACTGAAAATGCCACAGTATCACTGCTGTGGAAACTATGTTACTGTAATATATTTTAGCAAATGTAATATTTATTTTAATTAAAATTATGTAAAATAGAAATAAACTGTAGCTCATTTAATTTAGTGCAATAAATTGAAAATTAGTACATAGTTTCTTTAAGATTGGTGCAGTAATTTGTCACACTTATGTCTTCATATTCTCAGCAACTCCAGCATCCTGGCCTAGAGATCCAGACATGGGTGCAGTCCCTGAAAAGGGCTGTTTTCCTACCTCCCATTCCCGTTGGACCAGATGGGCTCCATTTCCTTATCCTCTTCTAATGGTCTGAGTAACCATCTTCCTGGCAACCTGCCTGTATATTAAAGCCCGTATCTCGTCCTGTACACTTCAAACCTAAAGATGGCTGCAGCATGTTTCTCTGAAATGGTGGTATGCACCTACAGGACTACAGTGTCACAATCCAAAAGAACACAGTCTGATACCATGGATCTTATTTATCCAGTGTGGAAAATGGATGAATTTAGAGAAAACAATTTAATTCTCCTGGTTTCTACAGGATTTTTTATTCCAAGTCATGTAGAGCTGAAATAAAAGATACATTCCCTGCTGAATTTGCTAAATTTATGACACCGTTTCACCACCTTCAAAGATTGGTCCACATACAATTGGCATTTAGAATATTGTCTTCTGTGATTTGAAACGATGTGCTGTGATTTCTGATGATTTCAGAGAAGCTTGTTTGTCTCATCTTCTAGCCTCAATACGGAAGCAGTATGTTTCTTGTAAATGCTTGTAGTGACCTACCAGACTACAAAAGCTTTACTTTTGCCATCATGAAAACCTTTTTTTGATGGTGACAGTAATAATGGCAATGACAAAGAATTACTTAATTAAGGAAATGATGCCCTTAGATATCTATGTTCATTTTGGACCCACAATATAAATAACAATTTATTACAAGCTGTCACACATCTGGCAGACCTGGACAGCTTTAAGATTCAGTTCTTCCCATCCCTTTCCTTAGTGCTTGTAATGGGAAAATGCCTTAAAACATTACTGCTTCTCTTACTGTTCTAACCAATACACAGAATATGAACCTTAGAGTTCTTTTCTATTTGTGTCAAAATTTGAAAGTTACTTAATTTAACAATGTGAATTTTACTAGGTAGGTACTTTTACATAACACATGGATGGGGAACAGTGGATAGTGCACACATTCTTTTAACAAGCTTTCAAGTGGATGTTCAAAAGCAAGCTTTATTTATTTATTTATTTATTTCATTCAGTTGCATTATATTAGGTTTAGTTTAAACTTTATCAGCCATGAATTGCAATGTGATATTGGTGTGTGTGTGGTGTGGGGGGGTCCCTCACCAAGCACTGCATGTTTTCAGAACTTGCTCCCTATCCTGAGCCAGATCCATCCAGTCCATACCACCCCATCCTATATCTTTTTAAGATTCATTTTAATATTATCAACCCACCTATGTCTTGTTCTTCCAAATGGTCTCTTTCCTTCTGGCTTTCCCACCAATATCCTATATGTGTTCCTGTTTCCTCCCATTCATGCTGCATGCCATGCCCATCTCATCCTCCTTGGTCATTCTAATTATACTTGGCATAAAGTACAAGTTATGAAGCTCCTCATTATGCAGTTTTCTCCAACCTCTTATCACTTCATCTCTCATCAGTCCAAATATTCTCTTCAGCACCCTGTTTTCAAACACCCTCACTCGTATTCCTTGCTCAATGTCAGACCAAGTTTCATACCCATATGGAACCCCAGGCAAAAGTATAGTTTTGTATATTCTAATTTTTACATTTCAGACAGCAGAGAAGACAAAAGGTTCTGGACTGAATGGTAGCAAGCATTACCCAAGTTCAGCCTCCTCTTAATTTCCTCCTGAATCAGGTTTTGATTTGCTATAATCATTCCCAAATATCTGAACTGTGCCACATTTTCAAAACATCTGTTACCTGAATCAAATTTTGATTTGTTACTGTTGTTCCCCAAAATTTGAACTGTGCCACATTTTCAAAGCATCTGTTAGCTATCTTTATGTCATGATTTTGCCCTGCATTCTGGTGATGAGACAGCAACTTATACTTAATTTTCTCTGCATTTACTTCTAGGCTAATCTTCCTGTTAGTGTCAATTAATATCTCTGTGTTTTTCTTTATGGTATCTATGTTATCTCCCAGTATATTCACATCATCAGGAAGACAGGTGAAAGATATCAATTCATAAATGGAGCAACATAATTTAAACATATTACAAGGTAAAAGATATCAGTTCATAAATGGAGTAACATAATTTAAACATCACAAAGAGAAAAAGATACTGAAAAAATAGAAAGGCAGAGAGAAACAAACCTATACATGTTATTTATAATAATAAATTTATGTGATCTTGAGAAATAGCAGCAAAAGTATCCCAGCCACAATGGTGTTCAATATGAAATGAGCATGACAAAGCATATACACTATATTGCAGTCAGACTCGTGATATGGAAATGTATATGGAAGAATGTTAAAATATTGAATGAAATGTTCATAATAACATTTCTGAAACTGTTAATATTCTCTACAAGCTGATGTTCACGTAAAATATTTCATTCAGATTTAATAGATATTGGACAATTTTTGCCTCTAGGTTAGTTGGGAATGAGAATGTTTGCTTTTCCAAATAATTCTTCTTAAGTTATTTATCTACCAGTGACAGTAATGTGATATAAAGAACAATTTGGAAGGAGATCTGAGTATTAAGTGCCAATAGTATATTAATTAGAGACATTATCACCAATGAGAAAATTCTGGTTGGGTTGAGCATAAAACACTAAGAACATTATGATATATCAGAGTGGAACTGCAAACTTTGAATGTTGCCTCACAGAATATAACCCAAAACGCCCTGAAAATGGAAGAAGCAAATACCTCTGAAAAAACATTGTATATCTACATAACCGTGATAACCACAATGACAATTATTTACTATGAAATCCCCTAGTACAATTGCTACACTTTGTAAAGATTTAGAAAAATTATTTTTTTATCCTTTGTTTGTTTATTTTTTACATTCATCAGGAAGAAATCATTAATATATCTATAATACTGACAGGCTGCTCTGGAACTGAATCCTGTCACTCTTTTCAGCTTCTGGTCAGTTCAGTATGCTAACTGCCTTAACATTCTCTAAAGATGCTATTCTACTGGCATCCAGTCCCTTGAGGCAAATGCTGGGATAGCATTTCAAATTAGGCCACAGTGGATTTCTGATACATTATTCACTTTTCTAGCGTTTAGTGCTACCTGATCTGAGGTATTGAAAGTATCATTAAGTAAACCACAAATAAATGAATACAGTTGTTTTAAAATTAAATGTGTGATTAATGATGTGTTCAATTACTGTAGTGAAAAAAGTAATAAGAATTGGATATAGTGAATCACATCCCATTTGGTGATTTGGTATGCAGTAACCCATGAATGAAAGTTAAATAACGTTCTTTGCAGCTGTTTCCACTTATAAATATTTGATTCTGCATTTGGGAAGTAAATTAAGCAGAGGAGTTTTACATATCAGAAAACATTTCATACCTCATTAACTTTCTAGGATTTCCCATCGTCTTTTCATGTGAATTACACTCTCAAAATGGCTATCAACTTGAAATGTCAGCACACAGGTGTTAGAACATAAAATATTTTTGAAAAAATTAGGGAAATACTGTGACAGATGTATACAAATACTGTAGAGTAATTGTTCTATAACAAAGGATGTGTAATCCTCACAGTCAGTGATTATCATATTTGTAACATTATTTACAGAATAAATAGAAAATAGCAATCTTCATATGCTGATTAAAGTGGTAGTCATTAAGGAGCAGAGGCACCATGTGTTATAACCAGACTACAAATTTTGGACGTTTTTTTGCTTCAGCTGGCCAGGAATCTGGACCCAGCTGTCACGTTGAAATCAGAAAATGAGTCATGACAGTGTCTGCTGTCTGCCCTAATACACTATTCAAATTTATCTCAACATCATTCCCATAAATATCAGTAAACTACAATTTTAAGTGCCTGCTTGTTTGCCAAATTGAGCTTAAATGTGCAGCATAGAACTCACATTACTCATTGTACCATATTATATCCCTATTGAATTCATCATTGACCCACAACTTTAATTTAACATTATTTTGAACATGGAATCATGAGTTAATCAGCACAATCCTGACATTTGGTATAGCTCTGTTTCCAGTAAATTTACCTCTGTTTCCAAAATGTGGCTTCTTCTCAACTTTGTCAATTTGGTAAATTAGCAGAATGTGTGTTTCCATAAAACAGTATCTCACTTTGCTAGTGGTGTGTATGTTCACCAGTGGATATGGGGCCTAAAATTAAATCATCAGACCATCTTGGCTGAGAAAACTGTATGGACAAAGTTTAAAACAAACAAAATGTGAAAAAAAAGTACTTTAATCTTCAATAAAATTACAAAACTTAATATGGTTTCCATAACAAAAATAGAAAGAGGATGATACACCAGATTTGCCAACATAAATGCCCAGTCCTCAGTTTTTAATTCAAATAGGAAAATAATTTGTTCAGCTGCTCCTGTTTCCTTCTCAATTATTATTTTTGGTTATGTTTAAAATCTGAATAATTTACACTGCATTTGTTTGGTCAGTGGCAGTCTTTAGTTTGTCCTTGGGGAACAATCTGTTCTACACTCCAATCAATTTATAAATCAATATGAAAAATTTAAGGGATGACAGTTTTCCTTTCAAAATGTTCTGTATAGTACGAATGCAGAGTAGTCAAGCAGACATGAACTCATCTTGATGTCAGAAGAGTAGTTGATGTTGAGACACAAAGTTTGGATATTGCATGTTGTTAGATTTAATTAAATTAGACAACAGAGTTTATCGAGCTCCACCTGCACCACTCTGCTTGCACACAAATTAATAACACAGTTGTTTGCTGGACACATGACACATGTAACACACAATGTAGATACCGATGACTGCTAGTCTTGCCGAGATAATGTCATCGGATGTTGACATAACTATCATTTCTTCCCACCTGGAAACAAACAGGAATAATATTTTGAAGTAAGTGGTATGACCTGCTAGCAATTATGTGAATAAGAAAAGAAATAATTCTGTTATACATTTTTTTCCTTGGCACTACAGCCCCAGTGGGTGTAGGCCTACCTCCATGAACTTCTCCGTTCACTTCGGTTTTTCTAGATCTTACACATTCAGTAGGACTCCTTGGGCAGGTGATCAGCTTGTCGCAAGGCCTCTACCTGTACACAAACACAGAAAAACGCACACACACAAACTAAACTTCCATGCCCTGAGTGGGATTCAAACCCATGATCCCGGTTTGCAAGTGAGCGAAGCCAGTACATGCCTTAGACCGCTCAGCTACCATGACCAGGCTGTTACATGTTTAGGAATATTTATTTCAAACTGGAATAAATTTCAAATAACCCCTAAAATATATTTAGTTCTGTTACAGTACCTCATATTCCAAGCACCCTATGGTCTACTTTAAAGTTATGCTGTGTGGGCTCCCCAGTAAACCCTCCAAATTTGCTCACAGGTGTTAATTCCACAATCAATCTGCCATATGATTCAGTGAACTGTGATAGGTTATCATTATAGCAACTATGATATGGCCTAGAAAACTAGGGAATCAGGATTCAGTTCTTGGCTGGAGCAGAAATTTGTTTCTTTGTCACCATCAAACCCTCCTATCCAGTGGGTACTGAGGATTCCTTCTACAGGAATAAATATGTCAAGCGAGAAGGTAATCACTTGAATGAATGAATGAATGAATGAGGGGTGGGCCATATTGACATGTATACTGCAATTTGAATTTTCTATTAACACAAGTTTCCTCCATCCAGTGCTCTGGTTAAGAATGCTTGGAGCTCTGCCCCACTCCCCCATATATCTTCATGCCATAGTGCCTAACTAGTACATATCCAATATAATATAAGAAGAAAATGAAGATGGTGAAGTACATACAAAAACTTGAAGTATCTGAGTTATCATCATGAGTATGCAGTAGGATTAAGTGACATTCCATTATTTCTATTTTTCATATGTCTGTCTCAGTTGTGTTAATTTACTGTCACAGTCTGTAATGACTGTAATGATACAAATTTATGATGAACCACTGGTTGAAGGTCAAAATTGAATACATCTAAAGGTCACCTACTGCTTTAACTGAAACCAAGACAGAAGAGGACCAGAACAAATCAAATTGCAGCCAGAATATCCCCACAGTAAATTGTGTGAAAGTGAGGGAAAAAGTACAGTTACATATACTTTTCAAAGTGCCAGTAGTGTATTTGTATTGAGCAATGACTTAGTTGTATCTGATTCCTGAAAGACTTGATGTGGTGAAGCAGTTTCAGAATGTTTTTGAAGTCCTGCAAGAATAAGTCAGGGTGCTTTCTAACCTTTAACCATTATTCCTACAAAGCATTTTGTACAATCATTCTCTTTTGGTTAACTCACTCACTCATGGAGCTGAACCCTTCTTGAGAAGTTGCCAATTGTGCAGGTACTCAAGAATTTCCCAGCATTTTATGGAACCTGAAGGTTGATTACGGTGTTCACAAGAGCCCTCCTCTGGTCCCTATCTTGAGCCAGATCATTCCAATCTGTACCATCCCATCCTATCTCTCTAAGATCCATTTTAATATCATCCATCCACCCACCTATGATTTGGTCTTCCCAGTGGTCTCTTTCCTTCTGGCTTTCCCACCAATATCCTGTATGCATTTATCTTCTCCCCCAGTTGTGCTACATGCCATGCCCACCAAATCCTCCTTGACTTGATCATTCTAATTATGCTTGGAGAAGAGTACAAGTTATGAAGCTCCTCATTATGGAATTTTCTCCAGCCTCCTGTCACTTCATCTCTCTTCAGTCCAAATATTCTCCTCAACATCTTGTTCTCAAACACCCTCATAGATAAAAAGTTGCTCTGTAAAATTTGTATATTTTTATGGCTTCTATTAGAAAACAGTTTCATGGGGCTGTACAGTGAACAACACTAATATTCTCCCACAGTCATCATGATAAAATAATTGACTATATTAATTTGAAATTAAAGAATCCTGTAAAGAGTAATTTCAATTTAGGTGTAAAGAAAATAACAATTTCATTCAGAATTATTGATAAAATACCTTACACAGGGACAGCACATATTTCTATCATAAACAACCATAAAATATTTATTTTGACTTCAAATGTAGCTATAAGAATTTCAGGTTTTTGAGTATAAACCCACATATCATACAGACAATAAATGTAAAAATAATTGTGGAATGATTTAAATTGATACTGTAATTTGCAACTTACTGAAAATTCTGAAAAATAAACTATGCTTTGAGTCCATGAGGAGCTGGGATAGCGTGCAGTTCCAGTGGGAGCAAAAATTGTCACTTCTCCATGTCTTCCTGAATGGCTCTGGGGCCAGCCTCATATCCAATGGGTTTGGGGTTCTTTCCCCTGGGGCTAAAGTGGTTGGGGAGTGAAGATGACCACTCACCTCCAACTAGTGCCAAGGTCAAGAAAACGTGGGTCTATACATCCACTCCCCTATATGTCTTCATGGCATAGTGCTTAATTAGTTAAGCACAGGGACAATTTTACCTTTACCTTTTACCTTTGAGTCCATGAGAATGATATAAACTATTTTTTCCCTGGTAGCACAGGTTTCAAAATAGCATTCTAAAGGCAAAGCTGATTCTGTACTTAACTAATTAAGCACTATGTCATGAATGTATGAGGGAGTGGATGTCTAGATCCACGTTTTCTTGACCTTGGCACTAGTTGGAGGTGGGAAGTCAGCTTCACATCCCTGATGTTTTTACCCCCAGGGAAAGGTCCCCAGTACTCATTGGATAGGAGACTGGGTGGGGCCCAGAGCTGGTCTGAATGATGTGGAGAAGTGAAATTTTTTGATCCTACTGGGACTCAAACTCCAAATCCTCTGTCATCCAGCCTGTAGCCAGTAGCTATATTGACTTCGCTATCCCAGTTCTCAAAATAACATTCTAATAATTTAAATACAGTATTAATTTAATATTTCAGAAACTTATATGTAATGATACTGAGTCTGTTATTTCTTCTTAAATAAGGAACTTTCTTTATTGTCCTCTATTCTTTCAGTAAATCTCTTCAGTGTTTCAATCCTCACCCATACTTTCCTTGGCTTAAACAGAGTTTGAGCAACTCATTGTTGTCTCCAAAATAATTCAGTTCTTTTGCCATAACATATACTAGTTCTGATGCAGTAAGTAGTAATAGGATTGATATATTTCTTACACACCTTATAATGCAATCTCTGTTATGATAAGCTTATAATAACCACAGAAATTGGAGATAGTAACAGAAGATGTAGATTCAGCACTGCTAATAAACCTACCATTCTGTATGATTCTGAGCTGGTTCATCACCTTCGAAAATTACATCACGTTTCCCTAGAATCAATTTTAGTATTTTGGTCATCTTCTTTGTCTCTAAATGCTCTCCAAGATGTCTGTGCATCAGAAATCTGTGCACTTCTCGTACATTACCTGTACCTCTAGTTCTTTGTTAACCTGTATTTACTATCCTAACAATATTAAATTGCATATATAAATCACAAAATTTCTTGTTTCATAACATCTTTTATTCAACATTTATTTCTCTTTTCTTTGTCCTGTTATTTTCTTGATGATTTTGTTTCCACAGACCTGCTCATTATGTTGTACCATCAAAGTCACAGAGCACATTTTATAACCAAAAGAAGAGAGAGGAGAAGTGTGATTAAGGGAGAAACCATTACTTAGTCAACAGAAATTCTGAAAGAGAAACAGAACAGGCAATATAATATGATGGGTGATTGGAGAGTGAAGAAAGGATGTAGGAGAAAAAAGAATGCCCAGTTTTGAAGGGCGAAGAAATCAGTGTCAATTCTGTGTACTGAACAGTGAGGTGTGAGGAATTAGATAATAGAACATGCTTTGAGGATCATCTGTCAGGAATGTCAGAATTATTAAAAATTAGACGAGTAAATTCTGTCATACAACTTCTTAGATTATGTAGGTGACAATAACATTTGTGGAAGGAAGGTGGACTGTAATGTCTATTGCAGTGGGCAAAATGAAAGTTTGCTGAGGGCAGTGCAATAATTTAAATACTGAGGAAACTTTGCATTAAGGAATTAAATGCTGTTAAGTGATACACTGAAAAAGTGGTCTAATTTACATTTTCATCTCAATAACTATATTATAAATATATAATTATGTTACACTGTATCACACAGACGCACCTTTTTTGCCACCTTTCTCACCACCTCCTTTGCCACCACCACCTTTATCTCCTCCCTTTCCACCACCCGAAGCTTTTTTCTGCAACAAGAAAATACTGTAGTTAATAATTTCATGTTCTGAATTCTAAACGGATAAATAAAATACAGAAGTTCAGTCTCACCCTGTCACTTGCATGTATAATATGTAAGATTAGCTTCTAGGTAATATAAAATTCATTTTAGGTCACATTCTATTTTTAGGCTACAAGTTTATGTTCCTGTTCTACATGATCCTAAACAAAATCTGTAAAAACTAAAAATTAGTCATAATTTTTTTAATTAATTTAAATTCTGTTAAGCCAAGCTGAGCGTCCAAATCTGAAGAGCGATTTATGATGAAATTAAATAAACATGAAGATTATGAGATACATTTTATTCAAAATGTATTCGGGATGGAAATATTTTTTGTTACTATTGTTCTGGTCATACTAAGGTGTGATATTCTCTGGGTATGTATGTCTATATACAGGCAGTCCCTTTGTTATAAACAGGTCCCGTTCTACAGATGTCACTAATTTCGTTTGTAAGTCGATCCCAGGAACAGAATGGCACAAATAATGGTGTGCCAGAATGTAACGGTGATGGTAACCATGTAACCTCATGAATTTAGGTCATCTATTGGCAATGTCTGTAAATCAGGTTCTTTCTTTCCTTCCAGTTACATTCAGGTTTTGTGCTGCTTCAATATATTAAAGCCAATAGAATAATATGTCACAGTATCATTTTCGAGAGCACATCTCCAACACAGCCTACGTTAATCCACCATTAAGCTGAAACATAGTATATATAAGGAGTAACATTAAAAGGCAGTATTTCTGCAATATCAGTAATGAAAGAGAAAAATAATTAAAATGAATAATGAAGTACTGTTTATTTAATTGTTCCCATCATCATCGTCTTAGTCATTATTGTGAACCACCGCTACCACCACCACCACCACCACCACCAACTACATCTGGTGTTCTTTTGTAGTGTGGGAACATCCCCACATAGAACGCTGTTTCGCCGGTCTTTCAGACAACACTCACTCCTAAGTGAATCTCACATTGCTCAAAGTCAAAGTCATGTTGCAACTGACGGTCAGTCAGTCTGTCTGTCTTGGTGTCGAGCCCCAGTTGGGGCCTCATGGCCAGATATTTCTTTTTGAATGAAAATTACTGTCTTGTCTATGTGGGGCGCCCTCTCTGATGAGAGGTCGGGTCTGTCATTTGTCTCACACATTGCTGGACATTGCGCTCATATTTATACAGCACTTGCTGTCCAGCCCAACTTCACATCATCGCAGGCCAATCAGCACTCACAATCGCAACTGCAAGTTTTGCTCCACCCATCAAGCATGATATAAAAGGCGGAGCCCAAAGCTCGCATTTGTCAGTGATCACATTCAGTTCAGAGCGACCGGTCATCAGAGGCATCAGCTCTTCACTGCAACCAGGCAACTGACGTAGTTGCCGCAAGTCTCCAGCGACCAGGCAACCGAAATAGTAGCCGCAAGTCTCCAGCGACCATGCAGCTTGCAACTCCAGCAACTGAAGCAGCCGTTTCTACCGGCGTGCGCAGCACTACATCACCATCCAGACAGGCCAGCTGAACGGTCATAAGACTCTGCCTACTATGGAGGAGCAAAATCTGCCAGCACACTCGCGGTGAAACAAACTGCCCTTTGAGGGCCAGCCAACTTTTGAACATTCCACATAGCTTCGCAGCCATTCTGTAAATTCAATTTATACGATTTAATATATGCAATTGTTACAGTTTTACATGGTTGTCATTTAGAATACCGACAAGCCCACAGTAGTTTCTCTATAGTGCTTGCATTTAATTGGCTTTATACCTGTAGTCAAACACTTCAGTAGATTAACTGAACTGAATTGTTGTTGTTATGATGTATGTATGAGGGGTGGGCCACAATCTGACCCCTCCACCACGACCAACAGTGATCTATTGTGCTTTTGTTGTTATAATAATTCACAATTGTACGAACATGTGTTAATCATCAAGTACAAGCTATTTCTCATGAAGTAGGCAGCAAGTAGTGCTCCATTTAATGCCATGCCTACTTCATGCTGGTCACTTTCTTGACTTACTCTTTGATCCTGATGATGGAGGCATTATGTTTCTACAAAACATCACTTGAATTTCACTAGATTACACATTGTTATACCCCAGAAGAAATAAATCCTCGTTATTATAATTTACTTAGATGCTGATGTAGTTTTCTATGTTGGAAATGACATTTCCTTGGACAAAACAGGTTAATTAGAAGAAGAAAAAAAAAAGTAAAAAGGGGCTCTTCTAAAGACAATGAAGGAGCCTTCTGGTCACTTACAGGAGTTGTAAAAACTGATAACACTAGTTCCATGGAACATTTGTCTTTAGAAAGTTAGACAGCTCTCTACATTTTCTCATATTAAATTTTCTTGTAATAAGCACGGGCATCTGAGACATCTCTGGTGACAGATGCAAATCTTGAGCAATTGTGGTTTAGCTCAAGCAGTGTCAAGCCCCCTCAATCATCTGAAAGGTCTCAACCATTTGCTCAATCACTGTGTGCCCAAGTATCCAGCACAATGTAAGAGCTATGCTTCACGGCCACAATTGTTCCTGAGAGTTACAACTGGTTCATACATATTAAATAGCAACTGTATGGCTGAACTATTAAAAAACTGTGACAGGTAATAATTTCTTTCATATGTATGAAGTTTAACATTTATTACTTTGCGACTTCCTGTGAATCCAATATACAGAATGTCCCTCTCTCTTAGTATATGCACTGGTTGTAATTTCATAATTTAAGATGTTACATTTTAGCATCATGTTGCACTAGAATTGTTGCCTTTTGTACACATGTTTAACCACCATCTTGTATGCAACACTAATTTTTGTGTTTAACATATCTTATTGCAATGTGTTTTGGCCTCACTCGGCCATCATCAGGTATATGCTTGCTAAAATTGTTGCACTGTCATCTAAGAATGTCACATGTAAATGTGTTGTTACTTTTAATTTAAACATTTTAAAATCTCTATAAGTTCATAAATTTTTTAATCAGCTGCACTTAATCTGGTTTCCAGGTGTTAGCATTTTCTTTTATTGGGGTGGTGTGTAGATATCAACTCCCTGCTAAACTGGTCTGTTCTCTGTGGGTACAGATTTTTTATTTAAAAACTTTGAACTCTTAAAAGGTCACAAAATTGCCGATTCGGCTATGCTGCATCTGGATGTCAGGTTTGGGTGTTTTGTTTGTTGTGGTAGTGTTCGGATGTCAATTGATTACTGGGTGAGTCTATTCTGTGTGTGTACAGATGAATATTCCATGACCACTAGTATCATCCTATTCAGAACAAGGTGAAGAACTACTCAGAAGGCTCCCTGACTGATCTTCAAGGGACATCTTGGTGTCAACAAAGCCCTGAAGAAGATCAGACAGTGTTCTTACCAGCTATACGCAACAAAAGGTAGAAACAACACTGCGACACCTGTGCAGCACACCGAGGACCCTGAACACAGTCCCTTCTCCTGATGAATCAGCATAATGGCAGGGCACTACTCGAGAGGATTACCAAGGCAATGACAGGAAGAAGTCCTGCTACAACCGCCTAGCTAACCCTGCTGGATACAATGACGGAGGCCAGGTCTAGTTGTACTGCCCAACCAAGACTGGAAGGAAGTCGCCGTTGCTGCAGCCATCCTGGGAAGGCCCTTACACGGCGATCACCCAGATCAACGATGTAGTCTATAGGACCAAGTGTCATCCCAGGGTGAAGATGATGGTACCCCTTGGCAGACTTGCATCATATTGCACTGTGTAGGCATGTTACTGGGTAATGACCTCGAAACAAACAAAGAGACATCTGCTGCTAGGCAACAGATTCTTAATAGGCAAGTATACACAGACATTACTGAGTATCGCTTTCGCAAACACACATATTCCCATGGGAAAAAACTGGAGTACAACAATGAACGATGTTTTCTACTTAGTCCATGCCGAGATGTTATAAGGATGACAACTGGAGTAAGATTTCAGAGAGAGAGAGAGAGAATTGTAAGGGAATCAGCACAGTTGACAGCTAGCAGGCAATGAAGTGAGCACAGAAGCTGAAGAGTCTCCACTGACTGGTGAAGACAGAAGACTGAAAAGAATAAGCATGTGCTGTAGTGATTTGTAAAGTGTGTGAATTAGCAATGGCACTACAATCAAGTGTAGTCACGAGTCCTATGTTAAAGCTGTCAGTAAATCTAAGGGACTACTTGGGATAAGCAGCATTTAAGAGCAAGCAATGTTACCTGAGTGAGAGTAGGTAGGAAAATTTAGTGCATGCTGCTCTTTCAAGAAGCATTGCCCCCCACCCCTGGATAGTTCTGGAAGTAAGGAGATCAAGGTTGGCCGAGATCTTGAAAGGAGATTCAATAATAACTTCGCCTGGATAGAAGTGTGTGGAGTCCCCGAGTTGAGCTTGTCTGATGAAAATGGCTGTTGAGTTGAGCACAACCGTGAATTTAGCAGTGGCATCCAGCATTCATGTGTGGTGACAGTGTTTGGTGTCAGGTGCAAATTTAGTGAATTCTAGGAGTCCTAATGTAACATCCGCTCTGACGAGTGGATGGGTCTGTCATTTACAATTGCTTCAGGTCCTAGCCAGCGCAATCATTCTCAGGTCCGAGTCCCATGGAACTCATAACCACATTTTACTATCTCAGATTCGAGGCTCCCACCCAACCTGGAGAGCTAGGACCCCGTATTTTTATCCCTCTGGAACGGGGTGGACCAGTTATACCCCCAGGCACCAGGTTCACTTTTCATCACCTCCTATGACTCGCAGGGCTATGGTGAAAGTATCTGACCCCGCCTCCACACAGGAGAACTGCACTAACTGTATCAAAGTCAAAGTCAAAGTTATTGTGCGACTGACGGTCAATCAGTCAGTCAGCCGGTCAGTCAGTCAGTCAGTCAGTCTTAGTGTTGAGCTCCATCTGAGCCCAGATATTTATTACTGTTTGACAATTACGGTCGTCGCCCATATTGTCTTCCTTACAGTCATTTTCCACGGACTGAATATAAAATATCGTTTCCAATAATAACTCTATTGTTTTAGAGGCGTGTTTACCGACCCATTTACTTCATTCATTCATTCATTATTAGAGGGGATGGGTTTTCCCATGCACTTAGACCAGTTATTGGTCCATTGTGCGTCCCCCTTTAATTTCTACTGTTGCCATACCCTTCCAGTACTGGTGCTCGCTATCAGCCCCCTTCTTCCAGCGAGGTCGGCCCTCTTCTGGCAGTGGTACCCGATACTTCCCCATCTACTTAGAAACGGGTTTCATAACACCGTTATTTTATTGTTGCATGCGTATATGTTGCAGGTGTTACCTAGCAACGGCCACTGTTTACAGAGTCACCACTTAGCAACTGGTCCATATGCCACAATAATTATGGAAAATAAAATCTCAAGCTTTTATTTGATTGATCTAACTGAACTGATTTCCTCGCAATATCATTTGTTTACTTGTCTAGAAACTAAAAAAAAAACTTCATGATTTATTGTTTACTGTAGTTTATGCAAGCTACAAACTAAAACTGAGTTGTAGCAGTCAATTCAAGCACATGCGCAGAAACTCTTATAATTTAAGGTGTGTTTACACATGCAGAATTTGAGAACTAAATGTTTAGGAACAAGGATTTTGAAAGTAATCCGTTATTTTATTTCTTGAGTTATATATTAACATAAAAATTTACAATTTGTGAACATCACTACTGCTTCTATCCATAAGTAATAACTTCTAACACAACATATTAATGTTACATTTCTTTGCATTGGTACTTACGCACTTGGTTTTTTGTCAGCTAGGTTTCTAGCACAAATTTCTACCTCGTTTTCTATCCTAGTTCCACGCATGTGCGTGCTCTATCATAATTTTTATTTTATGGTTTTTTTATTATCACCCACTGAACTAGCCTAGTCCTATATGTTGAAATAGCTGGGTAAACCTGACAGGAGTTGTCCATTAATTGAGATTAGCTCTTTCTAGGGGGCCCAACTGTGTAAGTGTCTTCCTTTCTCACCTGAAGATGGAAACAGATCCAGTTTCTGAAACGCCCTGTCCTCTATTACCTAAAATTCCGGACAATGGAAAAAGTCCAAAACCTCAGTAATTCTGTGGAACATATTGTGACATGTTGACCCCCACCTCCCCAGCGGTACGTGGCGGTAACGTAACGCTCGCGTTCTTACGGTAATAGGCGAGTTCCCGCCCCGCCACTCCCCTCCGCGGTGACGTCACCGAGGGATATCGCGGTCGCTAGGCAACGCGAGTCAACAGCGGCGACGTTACGATAGTAACAGCGGTTACTTCCGCTAGCGTTACATAGCAACACAGCGCCAGGCAAAAAGGGTGCCTATTACGTGGCCGTTTTCCCGTACTGTCCGATCGAGGCTACATACGGAGCAGCGAAGGCTATTCACAGTCAGTTCTAGTGTGGCTACCGCAGAGTTGTACTGAGTCAGTCAGCGAGTCCTGGACCTATCGTCGAGTTAGCCAGCAACCAGTCAGTTGTATTGTGGCATTTGGAGTGTACTATTTGTGATACTGCAGATAGCAGTAATCGTCAGATTGTAATTTGGGTGATTGTAAGAGCGAATGTGAAATAAAATTCGCTATACAAAATACGGCGAGAATTTATTTGTCGCGATATACCCCGCGATACGCGACAATATCAATGGTTTGAGCATGATGGCTTGATAACTGGAATCCCACAGCTAATTAATTTTTTGTGGTATAAACTTCAATATAATTACCTTGTCCAGCTTTAGCTGTTCCAGTGTTCCCTCCCTTACAATGGATATGTTTAAAACTGAAGACAGGAATTTTGCTTAAATTCTCACAATCAACTTATAAAGTTTCACATTAATCAGACTGCAAAATAACTATCTGCATTTGTCTCCATCATTTTACTAATAAACACCGTGTTAAGTTTATTGCATTTCCTTAAAAACACAACGAATTTCTGGTCGGAAAACTTCACCTCCACAAGAAAGTTTATTTGCAAACTTACACTTAGTCATTCTGTAAAACTGCACAGTAGTTATATTGTCAAATTATAATTCATGGCAGATATGTATAACAGACAGGGCAGACTTCATATGCTAATTTGTTGAATATTATGCATAAGGTAAACAAAAAGGTAACGTTTCTGTGTGCTTAACTAATTAAGCACTATGCCATGAAGGTGTATGGTAGAGTGCATGTATAGATCCACATTTTCTGGACCTCGACACTAGCTGGAGGTGAGTGGTCAGCTTTAGCCCCGGGGAAGAAGCCCCCGGTACCCATTGGATAGGAGGTTGGATGGACGACAGAGTCAGTCCAGATGATGCAGAGAAGAGAAAATTCGCGACCCTACCGGAACTCGAATTCCAACCCCTCGTTCATCCAGCCTGTAGCCAGTTGCTATACTGACTACACTATTCCAGCTCCTAAATATTATGCATATTTTAACTACAAGATATATGCACATTTACAGGACTGTAAACCAGAGGTACTCATTTAAAGCAGCATCTTTGTACTGTAGGAATCACTGGATAGTTCTATTTTATCACTTTTCCTTTTGTAATTAACTTCATCAAATTTGGAAAGTTCTTTGAATACTTCTGAAATGGGTATGGAATCATAAAATCAAGGCCTGCAGAATTATTAGGAGCCATATTATAGGTACATGTTTTCCAAATCCTTGATTCCCCGTGGTAGTTACTGAGCTTAATGTTACTTACTTCTTCCCCTTTGCCCCCACCGCTACCACCACCACCACCACCTGCACCACCACCACCACCACCACCTCCACCTCCACTACCACCACCACCACCTCCACCACCACCACCTGGAAAAAAAGAAACAAATTATTGACTGGATACATGGAGTACGACAATGTTACATTTTACAAAAATTACAGCCCACAATAAAAAGTAAAGTGTTCCTGGCTACAGATCCAGAGGTCTGGGTTCGATTCCCGGCGCTACTAGATTCTTTCTGAGAAGTAGTGGGTCTGGAACAGGGTCCACTCAACCTTGTGATGATAATTGAGGAGCTATTTCAAGGAAATAGCGGTTCCAGTCTAGAAAACCAAAATTAATGGCAGTGGGGATTCATTGTACTGACCACACAAAACCCTGTATCCACTAAAGTTGGCACTAACATCGCCGACAAGCGGCAGTCGCTCAGTCAGTATAGTTCACTTGCAGACTAAAACCACCGAGTCTGTTTTTGTTTATTACAAGTTAATAACAGCTATACTATATTTAGAATATATAATCAATTACAGAAATTTGTAACATTATACACTTCAAAAGCCCATCAGTTTCAGTCCCTAAAGGGTCATCATCAGGGGCACACTTAATTTATTCTTAGCATAAATCATTCAAGGTTTTTCATGCCTATTTTGCTCACCACTTTTAATGCATTAAAATACCTTACACTTAATAAATAAGCTATATATAATAACAAGTATTAGTGTCATATCTCAGTAACGATGACTAAGAACAGATATTAAAAATATCCCATCGAAGAAATTTGGAAGAGTTAATACAGAGGACACACACCTGTTCTGCATGTAGTTGTTCCATGCAGTGTATTATTGTCTAGCTCTGTTTCTGTCTAGGTCAAATGTGAAGGTCAATATGAATATAATTTTGGAAATACAGTAGTGTATTGTACTGTTCACAAGGAAAGCTATATTAAGATTTCTTTGATTTACAATATATTATCCGATTCTGGCGTATTAAATTTCCATTGCAATCTCAATTGGTAATCCAGTTGGTAAAGCAATGCTTATCTTCCTAGCTGATGTAGAAATAGGCATTTTTATCCTCGTCAGGAATGTTTTCCTCTAAATAATACCTAATTTCAGCATTAAAATTTGATCATACTGGAGGACTATTTTAAGTTTGGTGGAATGTCGCTTTAAAGCACCTGTAATTGGTTGGATATTGGTCAAGTCATTATTTTCAATTAATGGACATTTACAGAAAATTTCTTGAATTTTAGAGCTGTATGTGTCAGGTGTAACACTTTGCAACGTTTATTAATTACTAAAAACTGTGTGCTGAAAATAAACTTCCTTTTTTTATTTGTGGCTAACCACTGGGAACAACGATAACAGATCGAAACCTGATTCAGGAGGAAATTAAGAGGAGATTGAACTCGGGTAATGCTTGCTACAATTCAGTCCAGAACCTTTTGTCTTCTCATCTGTTGTTCAAAAACATAAAAATTAGAATATACAAAACTATCATTTTTCCTGTGGTTCTGTATGAGTGTTAAACTTGGTCTCTGACATTAAGGGAGGTACATAGACTGAGGGTGTTTGAGAACAGGGTGTTGAGAAGAATATTTGAACTGAAGAGAGATGAAGTGACAGGAGGTTGGACAAAACTGAATAATGAGGAGCTTTATATCTTGTACTCTTCTCCAAGTATAATTAGAATGATCAAGTCAAGGAGGATGAGGTGGGCAGGTCATGTAGCACGAATGGGGGGAGACGAGGAATGTGTATAGGATATTGGTGGGAAAACCAGAAGGAAAGAGACCACAGGGAATACCACTGCATAGGTGGGTGGACAATATTAGTATGGATCTTAGAGAGACAGGATGGGATGGTATGGACTGGATAGATCCGGCTCAGGATAGGGACCAGTGGAGGGCTCTTGTGAACACGGTAATGAACCTTCGGGTTCCATAAAATGCTGGGAAATTCTTGAGTAGCTGCAAAATTGGCGGCTCGTCCAGAAGGGCTCAGCTTCATGGGTAAGTAAGTGAGTAAGGCTAACCATATCTGCCATTACAGTCTCAGCATTTCTTCTTCTTCTTTCATGTTCCTTTTTCGAAAAATAATCATTGTACGGTCATTTTGAGGCCATTTTAAATCCATCACAAATATTTAGTTGCATGAAAGGAAGAATGTGGAGAAATATTGTGTCTCTTTCTCCTCGTACAAAGAAACAAACTTATTGATTTTAGTCCGCAAGCGAACTATACCGACCGAGCAACAGCCGCTTGTCGGCGAAGTTTAGTGCCAACTTTTGTGGATAGAGGGTATCGCGTGGTCAGCGCAACGAATCCCCACGGCCGTTCATTTCGTTTTTCTAGACCGGAGCCGCTATTTCCTTGAAATAGCTCCTCGCTTATCATCACGAGGCTGAGTGCACCCCGTTCCAGACCCACTACTTCTCAGAAAAATCTGATAGCACCGGGAATCGAACTCGGACCTCTGGATCTGTAGGTAGGAATGCTGACCACTGGCCCACACTTTATAAATAATTCATATTTTGTGTTAACAGAGCCGAACCACATCTAAAGCCTTCCAGTCTTAGTTTCCATAGAAATGTGAGGGCTGAAATGCTATCCATCATTTGATAACTGTCAGAAATAAATAATCCTTTTATTTTCAGTAATGGTTATGGACAATCAGTGGCATTAATTCGGCGACTGACTGAACGTTTAAAATAACGCTTACCCTCCTAATTATCTCGCACCCATTGACATTCGGTGAATCGAAGATGAAGGAAAAATGCAATCCAGTACTTGTGTTAATGAAAATTATAACTATTTTTGCTCATTTCATAAAGGGAAAACACCGGATCACCACAAGATAAGTAATCTGGACTCATTATATTCAGCTGAATTCTACAGTTTTTTTTCCTCTTCCTGCAGAGAAAAACGCCATAAAGAAGTGAAACTATCAGAAGCATTTGCATCGCCTCATTATTATTTGGCGGCATTCCACAAATGGAAATTATTTTATCTATTGCTGCGTTCCCTTGAAGATGCATACTGTCCACTGGAGGCTTTGAGCCTTCCCTGCAGCGCATGCGACGTATCACACAGTAAAAACCTACATGCCATGAAGAGGGTAATTTCCTGGTATTAAAATGTGCGCGTCTGTAAGAAGTAATATTAATATATCTTCCTCGTTTCCCCTCGCCCGCTACCTCCAACCGCGTGTTCCGTTCTAGGCGGCCGCCTACCTTGCCTACCCCTAGTCCCGGCTTTGGCGCTCCATCCATCGATCCACAGGAATGTCTCTTTCATGTTCTTGGTACTGGTTGGGTGGACTAAAACCCCAGGTCAATAATTTGTCATCGACGGACGAGCCTTGTCATGTGGACTGTTACTTTGCCGTAAGATACGATTTTGTTCGCATAACTGTCGTCATCACCCTATTTGTTCACAAATTCAAAAAATACTGCATGTGAGCTTCAGGAATTACGTTGCACTACCGGCAGCTTGTAGTAATAGGTCTGCCCCCTTCCTCCAGCTTACACTGTTTTTTGGTCAAAATTGTTTTTGTTGTCTAATGAGATTCAATAATCAGTTAAATTCTCATTTTAAATACCAGTATTGTTCAACAGAAAAACTTATGGCAATAATGACCACCATGTGTATATAAAGTCTAGTGTTATGGTTCCAGTTACAAAGGCGCCCGAATATAAAAAGTAAGCTCCGATGGTGCTACGAAGGGTACGCAGGTTCCCAACATGGCGGTCATACATATTTTTGGATCTGAATGTTGGCACGGAAATGCGAAGGTCGTTTGCGTTAGAAATTATACATGTCCGTCTGGGCCAAAATAATATGTTTATGTCACGTGATAAGACAGCCAAAATGATGCTTACGTAACGTGAGAATGGTGCTTGAAGGAGTTTCGCTTTTTAAAAAAAGAAAATCAGACGGAGTGCCATTGACGTACGCATCATTGCCCGACATATTACAGTAGTTCTATGAATGCAAGCAAAAGCCGTTTCAGACTGAGTGGGGTTCAAAAGTGAATCGCCCACTTGAAGTCAAGAAAGTTCAAGTTATCATTTGGCTCATTTCTAAAATTCGTAGGAGAGAACGCCTGTAATATTTATATTAGCTACAGCTCAGTTATACGAATTAGCACTTTAGTTCAAATAATTTTCAATAGAGGAGATTTTTAAAGTAATAAAAATAATTTTAAAAGTAACAATCATTTACAAGGAAAAGTGATTCCCTCAAGATAGGTCAATTTGTTAGCATTCATACGATTCTCATTGGAGGGAAAACGCCGTATCTATGCAGCTTACACAGTCCAAGGTGACTAATGTTACTTACATATCACTACGGCATACTAACTGTGCATTCCTCCCTTTATTCGAGTTCAAAGCGTTTTAATTCAAAGCACTCACTTTTTAACATTGGCCTAAAATAATACGCACTGAAGTTTCGGTGTTAAAATGTATTACGTTTTCTTGTGAACGCAGTAATGTACAATCTGGTTCTATAAAATGTTAAAAAATTCTTGAGTAGTTGAGCCACTTGCGGTTGCTCGAGAAGGAATTAGCTCCATCGAATTAGTTAATTACTCGTTCTTGAGCTGACCATCACTGTTTTACACTTCAACTCCCTTATTAAATTCTAAGTCATTTTAATAGCTGCCACACAAACAATTTAATCGACAAAATTTATCTTCCGAATTTCTCTGGTCTTTTGTATGTCACATGTTGTCGCTGGTCTGTGCAGACTATGGCATCGCATTGCTGAATGCTTTGTTTGGCGTCAGCTGCAATCTGGTACACATAATTTTAACTTCTTGAAAAATCGGCCGGGATTGTATGTCACAGGCATTCACTAGCTTGCATCATAGCCTCAGACTCTGGTGAACCTCTGGATTGGAGAGACTAAGATACTCGTATATTTCACATGAAAACGATCAAGAAGCTAGTTAGTGATGTTGTGGATGAAGAATGAGAACTGGACAGTGATGGCGAGATTGGCTTAGAAATTGCAGACAGAGTCCGAGTGAGACATCAAGCGAGTGAA